TTTATTTTACGTTGTCAATAAATGTCGGTAGTTAATTTAAAATTGTTATAAAAATATACAGGGTGTTTCAAAAAACATGTGCCATCTCTCGTGGGGAGATTCCTCACGGAAAAATATGATATATATTTTTCATATCAACATAGGTCTGATTTTGCTTTGTTTCGTAGCTACAGGGTGTTAAATTAAAAATCTTTCGATTAATTACAATTTTCTTCCAAATACTTTTAGTGAGGAATGAAATTTTGAGGGTAAAAGTTACTATTAGTGCTACATATTTTAATGCTAAAAAAGTCTCGATAAATGTATCAGGGACGCGCATATTATGGGTTATCACTGGAATATTTTTCAAGAAAAAGTCATGTACACCACTGACTTTTCTTTCGATATCAATAAAAGTTATCTCTTAATAATTTGTTGAATTCGGCCTCCTTAACGAGATAAACGCAATTTTATTAATAATAATTAATAAAATTAAAATAAAATTAAAATAAAAATAAAATTAATAAATTATATATTTTACCTAATTTACGAGCTAATTTATTATTAAATATTATTACTGTTAATTATTATTATTATTAATCCAACCTAGATCCATTTCAAATCAAAAATAATGATATTTAAGATAACTATAAAAAACTTAATTTTAAAAAGTTTTAACATCCTGAACTCTAAAACTATGCATTTCCATACTCATGTTTATAGGGAACTTTTTTTCATATTTTTTCATGAATCCCGAAATCGACAAAATATCGAGAGACAACTTTTAATTGGCATTAAACTGCTTACACTATTTCGCTAACAAGAGAAAAAAAATGTCAGTGGCATACATGCTTTTTTTAGAAAAATATTCCATTGATAACCCGATAAATATGTCGCACTTTTAGTAACTTTTACCCTTAAAATTTAATTTGAATCACTAAAAGTACTTGGAAGAAAATTATAATAAACCGAAAAAATATTAAGACTTTAACACCCTGTAGCTATGTAACAAAGCAGAATCGGACCTATGTTGATATGAAAAATCAATCTTATTTTTACGTGAGGAATCTCCCCACGAGAGATGGCACATGTTTTTTGAAACACCCTGTATACTAATAAAAAGAAATAGTATGTTATAATAATTATTTATTAACACAAACATCGGATACGTTACTAAAGCAGGTAAGTCAAATTGACGTATCTAAATTCTTTGATCTAATCTTTGACTCTATTACTTTGACCCTATCACGTTTTTATTTATTACTCTCTGAGCCTTCAATAAAAAGATTAAGGAAGGAGCATATCAAAAATCTTAGGTCCACCGCGATGGGACTCAAATATGGCCGACTTAAATTCCGGTTTATCAGTGCCGTTCTAATTTTATTTAAAAAATGTAAAACTATAATGTAGGGTAGACGTGGGGTGGACTCAATAATTTGTTTTTTATTTTACGTTGTCAATAAATGTCGGTAGTTAATTTAAAATTGTTATAAAAATATACAGGGTGTTTCAAAAAACATGTGCCATCTCTCGTGGGGAGATTCTCTACTGAAAATATGATATACATTTTCATATCAACATATAGGTCTGATTTGCTTTGTTTCTGTAGCTGCTAGGTACAATTAAAAATCTTCTGATTAATTACAATTCTTCAAAATAATTTCTATGAGGAATGAAATTTTAAAGAAGTTACTATTAGTGCTACATATTTTAATGCTAAAAAGTACTCGATAAATGTATCCAGGGACGCGCATATTATGGGTTATCACTGGAATATTTTTCAAAGAAAAAGTCATAATACACCACTGACTTTTCTTTCGATATCAATAAAAGTTATCTCTTGATAATTTGTTGAATTCGGCCTCCTTGATGAGATAAACGCAATTTTATTAATCATAATTAATAAAATAAAAATAAAAATAACATGAATATATTATATATTTTACCTAATTTACGAGCTAATTTATTATTAAATATTATTACTGTTAGTTATTATTATTATTAATCCAATCTACATCCATTTCAAATCAAAAATAATGATATTTATAAGATAACTATAAAAAACTTCATTTTAAAAAGTTTTAACATCCCGAACTCTAAAACTATGCATTTCCATACCCATGTTTATAGGGAACTTTTTTTCATATTTTTTCATGAATCCCGAAATCAACAAAATATCGAGAGACAACTTTTAATTGGCATTAAACTGCTTACACTATTTCGCTAACAAGAGAAAAAAAATGTCAGTGGCATACATGCCTTTTTTTGAAAAATATTCCATTGATAACCCGATAAATATGTCGCACTTTTAGTAACTTTTACCCTTAAAATTTAATTTGAATCACTAAAAGTACTTGGAAGAAAATTATAATAAACCGAAAAAATATTAAGACTTTAACACCCTGTAGCTATGTAACAAAGCAGAATCGGACCTATGTTGATATGAAAAATCAATCTTATTTTTACGTGAGGAATCTCCCCACGAGAGATGGCACATGTTTTTTGAAACACCCTGTATACTAATAAAAAGAAATAGTATGTTATAATAATTATTTATTAACACAAACATCGGATACGTTACTAAAGCAGGTAAGTCAAATTGACGTATCTAAATTCTTTGATCTAATCTTTGACTCTATTACTTTGACCCTATCACGTTTTTATTTATTACTCTCTGAGCCTTCAATAAAAAGATTAAGGAAGGAGCATATCAAAAATCTTAGGTCCACCGCGATGGGACTCAAATATGGCCGACTTAAATTCCGGTTTATCAGTGCCGTTCTAATTTTATTTAAAAAATGTAAAACTATAATGTAGGGTAGACGTGGGGTGGACTCAATAATTTGTTTTTTATTTTACGTTGTGAATAAATGTTGGTAGTAAAATTGTTATAAAAATATAAAATTCTAATAAAAATAGATAAGTTATAATAAATATTTATTAACACAAACATCCAATACTCTACTGAAACAGGTAAGTCAAATTGACGTATCTAAATTCTTTGACATCAATTCTTTGACAAGTAGTAAGTAAAAGCAAAAATGCAAGAAAAAGTATATAATTAGTTTATTTAAGTGAATTTCACAAATAATCGGTTTACTACACGTATGGATATTATATAGTCACTTAATAGCGAAAAGCTGTTCCATTATTTCACTCGATTTTTGACCGAGATCTACCGCACGCTACACAACCAACTATTTTAGAGTCTTTTTCAACAAATCGCAATAGTATCACTGTTAATTTAAGATCTGCCACAATTTCCATCTAGATTTACTACCTTTATACAACTATCAGTGGTAGAATAAATAACAAATAACATAAAATGAGCTCCGTAAAAACTATGGGTAAAGACTGACAAATCCACAAAATTTCAAAACAAGTTCAAATGTGTCAAATTAATTGTCAAACAGAACTGTCAAGGATCCCCACCCTAGAGTCCTTTTTTAGCCCACCATGCATGAATACATGGATAGCATTATGCTCCTTCCTTAATCTTTTTATTCAAAGTCTCCGAGTAATAAATAAAAATTTAATTTGGTTAGGTTAGGTTTGTGTAGGTAACTAGTAAGGTAAGTATAGTTCAGATAGTTCGCTAAATTTGCTTATATAAAGTTAGAATATGACTGATTTACAACGCAATAATAATTGTCAACTAGAAACCGAGAGAGAAACCATGTAAGAGATAATGAAAGATAAAAATAATTTATTTTTGCCTCACAAATTAAGTAAACTTTTGTGCAATTATCCGCTAACTAAACAGTATTATTACTGAAATTAGTTATTTTAAATGATTATACCATCCCGGTACAACATATATAGCATACAAAAAACGACCAGAGAAGCGTTTCAACTTGATGTAGATTTCCGCCATCGGTTTTCTACAACAAATTGTATTATCAGCTGAAGTTCTGAAAGTTAAGTTCTGAAATCGTCCCATAACCGTACAAAATGTGTGTGTGTGTGTGTGTTGATAAGAAGCCTATAACATCTCCTACTTACCATAATCTTCGTCGTCATCTGTAGCCGCAATAGCGGCATTTATCTTATCTAAATATGAAGCACCGGTAAATCTTTCCAATAAGGAAAAATCGTCTCCTGTAAACAATTCATCTTCGTTTAATGGACCAAGTACCCTTCCATTAGCAACAATGGCACGTTCAGATGCTTTAAGATTCAGTACCTTTTGACTGTAGACTCTGAGCATTTTCAAATTAAGTTCCTGCGCTTCGACTCTGGACCAAACTTCAGACTTAAAAAGATAATTTCAGATCAGTAAAAAAACATTTCAATGGAATATATGGGTTTCTTACTGAAATGTCCAACTTGTCACCTTTTTCTAATTTTTCGTTAGTATCTGGGTCTCTCAAAAGCGCGAGTATCGTATTTAAAGCACCATCAGAGGGCAGCACTTCAAGTAAAGCCAAGACCAGTTTATTATACAAATTGTTCTTATTTCCGTTGACGTTTGGTAGAAAACTTACTCTTATGTCACTTTCTAACTTCTAAAATAGAAATATTAAATATCTTTATTTAATGCATAAAAATTGTAAATAAGAAACAAAATTAGTGCGACCGCGAAGGTACTTTAATATGACAATTAAGTAAAGTTCATAAGAATTAATATATCCTAATTAATGACTTGACACGTAGTAAATAAAATGTAAATATACATGAAATAAAACATAATTAGGTAACTGTAAATGAATTTCAAAGTTGATTGGATTACTTCATCTGACAGTATATTCGATACCAAATAAACTTTTAGTTACGTCATCAAGGGTGCGATTATTAAATTCATTGTTGCCAACCCTGGACATATTCGGCCCAGTGTGACTAACTGGAATTTAAATTTCCCGCTGGCGATTTAGGTGGTAACTCTGTAAAAATGTCAAGTTGTCACATTTATTTATTTCCTGATATTTTGATTCGTTTTGACACTTTTTGTGTCAAAACTTGTATTACAAATTTTCGGTTTAAGTGAAATGTGTTATAATACTTTAAGCTTAATATTTTTTTACTAGCAGACCTTGGAGTCGACAATGGTTCTTTTTAGAACCGCTTGTAGTGCAAAGTTTACAAGATGCCAAACTTAACAGCCGTTGCAAAAAACTCATCGCAATCTTATTAGAATATTTTGAATGAGAAACCCGTAATAATGGCCCTTTTTGTCACCCGAGTACTTTTAAGAAGGTGAGTTTTGTTGATGTAAATAATAACTGTTTATATATTTATAATTAATTAATTTTTGTTTCCTAAAATATTTTGATTAAAAAAAATAAATAAAGTCGGCAACTCTGTGCTGGTCAAACTTAATTACGTGACTAAAAGTTTATTTGGTATGATTTATATTATATAATTATTTATTAGTAAGTTGTTAAATTAATTCCCATGTTTTTTTTTCAGATAACGGTCGGAGCAAATGTAACTATTTTTGAAGTCTCTTTCAAAGATTCACACACAAAATTTTCACTTTACGACACGTCTATCCACATTTATACACTTTAGATAAAACCAATTGTAAAACAATGAAGAAATAACATAAACTAAACTCAAAAGGCACAAAAAAACGTCAAAATTCAAATTAAGTTCAAATGTCTCAAATGAAATATCAAACAAAACTGACTCTAAAGAAAGTGTTTCCATGATGTCCAAACTCTTTCCTTAGTTTTCTTTTATTTAATGATGTAGATCCACTACTATCACAGATTAGGTATACTATATGTATACAGATAAAAATCTTGTCCCTAATTCGTGGTATGAAAATTGTTTTTTATGACGTTGAGCAAACGAGTAAAATTTCCTGTGCGCAAAAATAAACTCGCGTTTAAACAGCGTAATAAATGGGCCGGTCAGGTGCAGTGCACAATTTTAGAGGCCATAAGTGGGCGTGCTGTGTGCGCAAACTAGTAACTTAACTAGTGCGCGACTCCGAAAATTGAAACCACGAAAAACAATGCTTTTGACGATAAGTTTATAATCTGTATAATCTGTGCTACTATATCATTAAATACAGTACTACAGTATCCACTAAAAAAACATTGTCTTATCATAATCATATTATTATATATTAATCTTTATTATTGAGATATTAAAAACCAATTCGGTGGGTTCAATTAAAAAAGAAACATTTTGACATGTGGCGACTGGCGACCGATATGGCGTCAAATTACAAAATTGTCTTTTAAATAGGTAAAAAGTAAAATTAAACGACAAGATACGAAAAAGATATCAACAGAGAAATTTTGACAAATATGGAGCCTAGATTCCAATCTTCAAAAGTATACAGGGACTATAAAAATATGATTTCTTGTTACCTACTTTTTATTTTTTAAAAAAAGTTAAATGCCATATTTCTTGATTATAGCATTTTTAATAATTTTCTAATATTATTATGACAATTTTTGTTGTTAATTGTTTATTACAACAGATTAAATCTGTTCCATATGTCTAAGAAGCTTACAAATTATTATATTATTAGTGTTGAAAAAAAAAACATTGGCCAATATTTTAAAAAAGGAAATATCAAAAAAAAAGATAGCTAAGCCACGGGATTCTATGTATGTAAATAGTTCAACAAAAATACGCACTTCTACCTTTTTGATAAGTTGTCAGACTAATGAGTTAGAAGGAGTATCTGAAATTGCAATTAATTCAATATCACCCTGTAGCATGAAAATGTTTGTGTTTTTGATATTCACTAAAAGGTAACTGGTTTGCACATACAATTAATTATTACAATAATACATTAATAATAAGCAAAAATTCCAATTGCAACCATAATGGATCACTGTACAAAAGCTGACATATGGTAATCGCAAAACAATTTCCGATGCACGTGACCAACTGTAACTGACAAGCGATGGCGACAGCGCTGTCAGATTGTGATGGATTTATGAGATGAATCTTAATTTAAAATTGACAACATATGTATTATATCATTTTTAAAGAGTTTTACGTTTTATTTTTAATTTAATAACTAATATTTTAGTGATTATTTGATTTATTTGTTTTATAGATTATTTTAGTTATTACATATTGGCAAAAACTAGTCCATTATGAAGATTATTATAAGCGTTATTATGGGTTATTTATTTATTGATGTACATCTTATAACGCCATAAGTTGTAATAACAAGTGAGAGGGTGCTATTAATGCACAAACTAATTAATCACAGAATTTAATAAAAACTAACTCTGAAAGTGGTATAATGTGCTTATTAATCAAACTTACTTTTCTGACTGCAGTCAAGGGTAATAAAGGACCTTTATTGTCAGTTCTCGTTCAAAATACTTAAAAAAAAAAAATAGGGAAGCTACAAGCTCTTTCCTTCGACTGTTTAAATGCTTCGGCATATTTTCAACACACAATTTCAAGAAATGCAATACAAAAACTCGATAATTTTGTGCTTAAAAGTGCATTTTTTTAAAAAAGACTATGAAAATAGGCAAAAAACGAGAATTAAAAAGATTCAACAACACGAAATTTTTTAATAACTGACACTAGGATAATTGTCAAATAATAAACGACGACATTGCTGAACACGGCGCAATGTGACCAACATAGCCATAATAAAATTCGGTTTAAACTTTTGCAGCTATAATCTAGATAAAATATCTGTTACAATCATTTGCTCTATAAAGTAAAATCAAGAGCTGCGCGGTATCTTAAATTATACAACAAATATAAACATTTTTGCCAACATTTAATTTAGTCAGGTTTATAGACTTTAGTGTCAATGTCGATATGATTGATGACGTGCATCGGAAAATGTTTTGCGATTACAATATCTAACTAGCCGCTAAAAATAAAAAAAATAATATATGTTGTTAAAAGAGTGGCAAGTCTAAAGTGCGATGGATCAGACATGTGACAAGACTCTATGGAGACCTAGGGGAACAACAAGTGTGGGATGGCCAAAAAGAGATGGGTCGATTACGTCAGAACAGTGGCAGGAAGACAATGGATAAGATTGGCTAGAGATCGCGAAGCATGGAAAAACCTAGAAGAGGCCTATATCCAACACTGGATGGAACCAGGCTGAGAAAGAAGAAGAACTGGTCCCTACAAAATGTATAAACCCTGCAGGGCAACAAGTTGTTAAATCCTATGATATATGTCTACTAATAATCTAGAATACATGGAAAGAATCTGATACCCACCAGCCGTCCAGTGCTCTCCTGTAAAACTAGTAAAAATAGCGCTTATCATGTTTTTTCCCTGGACCCTTCATATATACTTAACATTTAAAATTATACAGGGTGTCTCAGAAATAAGTGCAAGTATTTTAAGGGGTTGTAAATCTGGTCAAAGGAAACGTTTTTTCTCCTTGTCGTTTTTCAAATAAGTCCAAAATAACCGAGTTATTTTACTTTTTATTTTCTTTCATGTAAATTTAAGCTAGTACCTATATTGCCATATTATCAAGAAATCATGTTTATTAACTCAAAAGTAAAAAAAATTCCAAAATTTTTTTCATAAAATTCCAAATTTTCAATTTTTTTTTTTCGCAAAAAATACCTCATAGGCGTGTTTCTGAGGCCGAAATATACTACCAGTTAAAATACTTGCACTTATTTCTGGGAAACCCTGTATAATAACTTATACAGTCGTTGTATACTAAAATAATTTAATCTAAACAATAATTTATTATGTAAATCTTAAAATACCTAAGTATAATTAGTATTTACGGCATTCATTCGAAATTTTATATTGTTTCAAAAACATTATAATAGTCTAATTTTTATTATCGCTCAGCACTAAAAGTCTATTGTATGAAAATACACTTTTCAAATTCCAACGGAGATTTTTATCTACGAAAAACAAATGTTGCGTAAACTAAAAATGGTAGTTTTCTATAGTGTAAGTCAACACCTATTTATTTTGTACTGTTTTATATTTTGCTTTAATTATACAAAAATATACTTATGTATAATATAATTTTACAATTAGTTTTATTTAAAAAAATCTTATAAAACAAGTCTATTGACCTATGTTAAAATAATAAATTGTTATGTATGTATGTACATATATATACAAGATGGCGCACCTCATTCGCCTCAGTTGATTATACGAAAACGGAAAGATGGAGAAATAAAATCTTTTATGAGGATATGTGGGTAGGCAATGCGCACAATTTAAAATTATATTGAAATATACAGGGTGTTTCAGAACTAAGATCCGTACCAAAGTTATATTTTTCCTTATGGAATACCCGCTATTTTATTTCATTTTTGGATTCTGGGGCCCAAAAAAATATTTATTATAAGGGTTAGGTTAGGTTCATTTTCAATATGTTTAAAATTTTTGGTTTTTAAGATATTTAAATGTATTTAAATATGTATGCTACAATAGAATAGATTATCAACACCCTGTACATTACTTTTCAGAGTTAATTCTTGTGAGTTTATAGGTAGAGAAATAAACTTGCTTCCTTAAATTTATACAGGCGTACCAAAAATTGCTGATCTATTTTAAGGATTTATTTTACATAATAACTTCGTTA